ACACTTTTTAGCGCGGACCCGACGTCCATATAATTGTAAGTCAATGACTTTTTACTTAATACACCAACTTATTACGGAAACTGTGGTTTACGTCAACTCTATATCCTACTCTACTTAATAATACTCCAATCTTAGACGTTCAGAGAACCATACAAATATATTCATCAGCAACAGGTTTATTAAGAGTACAAATCAATAATGGTTTGTTCCTTCCTCGAACCTGCAAGATGTGGAATGATAGTCCTCCTGAAGTGTTTCAGCAGCTCATCTGATGTTGCAAATGTCCATTGGTGACAATGACCATCTCCAATCAAGGGGCTCGTCTGCTCGTTTGCCTCCTTCTTTATATAAAAAATGCAATTCGTCACAGACTTAGTCATTTTTATCAAATTAAAAGAGTTGATAACGACCGCTCAACCGCATAACGCTCGGCATTACTCACTGAATGGTCTAAGAATTTTGTTGCACCAAGTTAGATCTAGAACGTGGATCACAGCCCCTACCTCTAAGTTTCATAGACGTATATTTTTTACATTGGTTCGGTGCTGTGCAAATGCGGATGGATGTATATTTACATTGGTTCTTAATCTAACCTACCTACTGCAATCCCTACGTAGGTAGCTACAGTTTTCGCACAGCGTAATCCGCTTATAGTATATTTTACCGAAATTTCTGTCTGCAGAATACCCGACTCCTCAATTCTTACGGCAACACTAACGTGTTTGGACTCACTAAATTCGTCTCGACGAGTAGTTATTAGCTACATACTGTGACTTTTTTTAATTTATGGAGTACACTGTTTTGTATCGGGATTTTTTAAATTTAAATTTATATAATATGTGTATTTTCACAAACAGGTTTCCAACTAAAGCCATTCATCCTCTCCGCGCAGTACATACCGGACGCAGTACGACGACGCCCCAGCGTCATGAGCGCCCTAAACGCATTATTGAGCGCTGTATAGATACCGTCCGCGTGTAACTGGCCCAAAGGTTTTGCTTTAGCTCAGATCGCCCACTCAAAACTCACGTCTTTTTCGTTCTTATTACGTGGACATAAAGCTTTTCCTGATCAGCTTACAGACCTCCCACACTAGCGTCTTGCCAGCGCACACAATACAACGTGTCGATAAAGCGTAAAACACACAGAGAGCGGGTGCGGGTCGGGCGCGGGTCGGGTCGAGATCGCAGCGGGTCTATTGTATTTTTGTAGTTCGTATTTTTGAATGCAGTAGTACTTAGATTTTAAAATAAACTTACTTACTTTCCCTCTGTGTCCCATAGTCATGGAACGCCCTGTACATATTACATATATGGTATGCTATGGTGATTGATCCATATACAATTTGAGTTTTTTTTCAAAATGTCCGATATGAGTTGTAATTACTTTTTAAATATTGTTTATGTAAGTGGCCAGTTCCGGAAACTTATAGTGCGCCTTATGTATTATGATACTATACAACGCATTTATCATTAGTAGAGCCACCTCATATTATTTTAAAATACATACTTAAAGAATTTCATAAGTAAATTTGAATGAGCAAGTATTATGTAGTGATTATACAAATATAATTTAAAATAATCACGTTACAATCAGTACATTACCAAAATAATAACATAATTAATTATTTTTAGTTCCTGTCAATCATTTTTTTGCTGAGTTCAATGCCAAAGACCGGTCCTAAGTATTGGCTAAACTAAATAATAAAATCCGCAAGTTAACTTTTCAGACTAACTGTGTTCTTGCAGTTATTTATTAATTGTCTTTGTCTGGGTAATAGTCCGTGTATTTAATATACATGAAACTGCCTCCTTTGTCACCTTTATTTATTTTCTTTTCATTCGCAAAATAATAGCAATAATTTGTACGAAGACAAATTGTTGAAAGTATATTCGTTCGTTTACGTCTTATCTATACTCTGTTAAAGTTAAATAAAAGAAACGCGAAACTTTAAAACTGTAAGCGGTTAAACGCAAGCTAGTGTTTTTGTAGTATTGTTTTTTAACATATCAGTACAGTCAATGTCAAAATTAATAACTGTTAAAGGGAGTTGTTATTTTTTAAACATTGAAGAATACACTCGGTTCAAACCCAAACCTATTTTTTGTTTATATTTTATGTAGGTAGTACAGTTTTCAAGATTTTTGCAAATGAATAGCTACGTATTTACACAATTAAACGTGAAACACACTATTCTTTTTTGATCCCGTTACGATTGGATTAAATCGGGAAAATTAAGGATTCAGTTGCAGACTGTACTGACAACGTAACAAGTATACGAGTATAAAAGTAAACTCAGAAAAAAGTATACTATGCCAGAGCAAAAACTCAACTGCGCAAAATTGAAAAAAAAAAAACATGTACTAGATCCTGTTTTAACAATATTAAACACACCATGATATTTTTTCTCGTAATGCTAAAATTAAAAATAACTTAATCAAGTACTGTAACTTTGCGTATTAAAATTAAAATTTGTAATCGTTTCTTCATATCGTCCTGGCTATGATAGCTAGCAGGTTAGATTGCCCCTATATTCGGCATTGTTGTGATAAGCACGCCCGCTATGGTGCCGGTTATGGAGTCAATCGATTTAGACATCAATAAACTATGTACTTGTAATTTCAATTAAAATGTTTACTTTTATTTAATTTTATTTTAAATTTGTTTCATAATATTTTATTTTATTTTTATAGCATTTTATTGACTTTTTAATTCTGATTATATTACTTTGATCTTAACTGTAGGTTTTAATTTCAATTTTAATTTTAATTATTCTGATATGGGTCATTGTCTCCCGAAATAATTGATTTTATTTTTATTTGTTATCTTTTTTAATATCTACCGATATGATATGATACATATACGAGTATACATTTATTAGAATATCTGCACTCCACTCCTCTGTCATTATTATACCCGCTAGCGGGAATTGCTCCTCCCAATGTACGTCGCGAGATAGCATGTTGAAACTAAACTAGATGCCGCGCGATGCGCCGGGCCGCTAAAGCGGCCCGCGAGGGCTTTCTTTGTATCTGGTGACAAATTGGGAGTTGAACTTCATACTTCAGTACAGAATTCTTTTTGTTTGACTTTGAGTGGGAATCGCTGCCATTGTTTTGCGAATTTTGTTTTTTTTTTACTCCCGGTAGAAACTGCCCAAGGTGTAGAGCAACATTTGTTTGGATAACTAAAACATGAGGTTGACAATCGGCACGCTTTATTCGGCCACAAACTCCCACCAGCACGACTAGTCGTAAGAGCTTCCTTCGACGGATCACCGCGAAAGAAAATAGCCCAATGGACGCGAGGCGCAAACTTTGGCAAGCCAAATTCCAAACGCAAAATTTTGTTAACCCAACCGAAAGCCTTCCCCCAGGCACGAGTTGCTGTGGTCGGATCACTGCTACAGAAAGTAGCCCAACGGACGCGAGGCGCAAACTTTGGCAAGCCAAATTCCAAACGCAAAATTTTGTCAACCCAACCGAAAGCCTTCCCCCGGACACGAGTTGCTGTGGTCAATATGGAAATTCCTGAATCGTCTTAGGTCACGAGTTATCCGATATAGAGGGGATATATCAATTCGACACAAAACCATTGTGCTTGAGGAACCTCCACACAAAGTATATCTCACTTGCTCTTATGTCCACTGTGTCCGACCAGCTGCACCTGCGCAGACCTGCTAAAGACAAAAGATAGGTGGCTCCTTACTGGGCCAAAGAAATATAACCCTGGTCTTTTATCTGTTTTTGTCATTGACTCGACAAGAAGAATAAGAATTAGTCTATAATGATATGCTAAATGGCACTTAGTATAGCGATTGTCTCAAATGTTGTGAACGACTTCACCAGACTGGTCTACTAAAGGTAGTTTCGATTTAAACCCTCAGTAATTTCTTTTCACGTGACTGAAAACTATTTATATGTATAAGTAAATAATTATTTCTCTGACATGCTCGGAAAAGTTTGCATTACTTTCAAAAGGGAAACCCATAAGTATACACTTTTATACTTTCGCCAGGTTTTGTCCACGTTGCACTAGCCGTGGTCACGGGCTGACAAACAGACGAGAAACAAATGTACGTAATTTAGATTTGAAAAAATTATTTTTATTTCTAAAGTAAACAGAAAAATTATACAAGTTTACTCCCGGAATTGAGTTTTAAAATATGTCGTAGAAAAAAGACGCATGATAAAAGTTGAAAAGTGTTCGTAGTGAGTTTTTTTTTTTACTTACACTGTAAGCGTTTATATCGTAGTAAGTAGTAATGGGTTTTAAGCACCTATGGTTTTTTAATTAATAGAAAAGTTGTAATAACAACGTCACCTAATTGCATTTACGGTTTCTTTTTTTTGCAAAAATAGTTACGAAATTTTGTAACCGGGTAACCGTGATATTTTTGGCTAAAATTCAATCAATATTATCGATCAAGTTACACGAATTGGACTTCATGTTACGACGTGTACTACTTATACAGGGTTATTATTATAATACTAACTACTACCAAACACAGATCTAATAAGTATAAGATAGCACAACAAAACACTTAAAAGTTTAAGTATGTTTTTATAAATTTATTTCGTTCTATAAAAAGTCATCTGCCGGTGTTGGAAATCACAGGCACATGGGACTTGGTCAAGTTATGTCCCTGAGTGATAAGCGCAACGGCAGTCACATCTTTGATTTAAAGCACTGATCAGTACTGCAACTGGTATGGATAGGCGTGTCGCTTACCACCAGGCGCATGACTCGTTCGTCCCTTCACTTGGTATTATAGAAAAAGCGCTTTATAAGTTATTAAGTACCTAAGTACTAAGTTACTTGAATTCAATACATAGAATATAAACCACCGTCTATTAACACTTCAGGCAAAACTCAATGCAAAGTGTATTTGAAGAATATGGTATTTAATAGATTCCAACAACGTTGGTAATAGCAAAAAAGTATATTATTTGCTAATATAAATGCCATATTTGCTGTGGCTATAAACGAATAGTAAATAAAATAGCAAATATAACACTGGTGTTTGTATTATGACAAAAACTAAACTTTAATTTTAACTATGACGACTGCTTATTTGTTTGTTGTTCCGGGACACTTCAGATGTTCAACTAGAATATTGTTGTTGCTAGGAGTGTGTCCAACTTGACCTTGAATTCAATTATGTATAGGAAGGTTTTGAATTCATGTCTTTGTTTTTCAACATACGTATGGTTAAGTACACCTCAAAGTATGTAATTCGCAATCTGCCAAATTTTTTTGCATATAAATAACATGTCATGTAACTTGTTTCCTTGTAACATGTACTATGCCCATCAAACACAAATCATGGTGCCATTGATTCCATTAAGTTTAATGATTGGCTAAATTGATTAAAGTCCATGTTTCAATAAGAAGATTCAATTGGTATTACAGAAATTGCCTGCCTGAATACTTTAAAGTGTGACCATTCGTATTACAAGTTTTTTTTTTATAATATCAAGTGACGGGACAAACAAGTTGTGTGTCTAGTGGTAAACTACACGCCTGTTCATAACAGTAGCAGTGCCACTCAAAGCTTTAAATCGCAAAGATCTGTAGGACAGTGCTACTGCGCCTGTCACCCAAACATGTAATTTCACCAGCAAAACCGTAACGGAGTAATGCTTACATTACGGCTTGGCGGCAGAAATAGGTAAGTTGGCAGTACTAACCTGGACGACCCGTTTCACAAGAAGCTCCACTGCAATTAAAGGTTACATAAAATCAATTGGACATAGTTATGCAAACAAGAACCAACCCACACCTCGAGGGTTTTGCCCGCTCACAAAAGGTCCTGGTAATATGCCAAGCTAAAACGGAGAAAATAAAAGCCCTTCAGGATACCAACCCTAAATAAGTAACTTTTTAATAGCTAAAAAGAACCATGCTGCTTAACTTCACATAATGTATTTCTTAAAATATGGTAAATGTGTCCATGTCACATGTACTGAAGTACTGTAGATCTTTAGCGTTTTCATTACGAAAACTAGAACATGGTTCTCGTTAACTAAATAAAAAGATACATAATGTTTTCTATTTATTGCTATATAATATAATAGTTTCCCTATATCATTCTCAATGCTACACCTAACTCACGTTGTTTGTCTCAAATAACTTACCTACTTATTTCTTCACACTGTTTTTACAAAAATGTAATTATCTTGCAAGTAACATTTTGTCGGTTGGTTCTAGTTTGCATAACTATTTCCAATTGTTATTTCTATAACTTCAAAATTTTGAATGACTGACTTCTAATCATCAAACTGAACAAACAACTGTACGAAATATTTAACAAAAACAAGCGAATTGATTATTCAAATCTATTTTACATTCCATAACAATAAAACCAGTGAACTTTTCGGAATGGTTTATACACGTAACAATAGCATTAACTACAAAACAATACACAGGAAAAGACATGCGGGTAGTTCTAATCACAATGTGTTTTGACAAAATTCTGACTTATCATTTTTATCCCTATTTTAGTTAGTAAATTAGCCTTGCGTGTTTGTAAAGATATTCGTAATGGATTTTTATGAGAAACAGTGAAAAGAAACGAAAATATGCGAATTATCACGATTGTAGTAAAAAAAATAGCCAGGAAACGGATATAAAAGGAAACAAATCACCAACAAAATTAATAGTTATAACTAAAGTATAAATCTCATGTACTTACATTAATTTTTCACTGTCAATAAATCGCTTTAATAATATTACTGCATAAGTTACAAATGTACTTAACTAAAACGACGACCTAATAAATAAAATACTTTCTAATTGGTCTGAATGGGATGATATTTTCGTCAAATCCTGATGCTTGTAGCCTGAAAACACCCCCCAGCCCCCTACCACATACATGAACTCTGGGGACTGAAATTTTAACTGTAAATTTGTTTTGACAATCCATCACTTCATCGACTGTCTAATAGGCTTAGGTACAAAAGCGGTAAGGTGACCTATCACAAACTTGAATTTTCACTACCCCGAAAACCGAATTATAACGAAACCATTGTTCTTTCGAAATATGTTGGATGTTCTCGCAAAGACACGGTTAGGTTCGATTAGGTTTGGTTAAGTTAAAAGAAAAAACGTTTTCCTTTCAAAATTACTTTCGAGGTTATGAAAATTCGAGCAAATGTTATTTCTAGAAAATGTCATCTCGGTCTTCTACCAAGCGGTATATGACCATTACGTCTATACTAAAAATATCAACCATCTGAGGGTGGTTATTGACGAAATATTTTTCAGGGGCCTGATAACAAATTGCAGAGAGTAAAAATATTTAAATGATCTTAGGTGTAAAATAAGCAATGGGCTGAATGTATTTTCATGTACACAATGGCTCATTTATTGACTTTAAAATAGTAAGATCACCGCTAATTGTGTTTGGTAATTCAGTTTATTTTTCTATTCCATTTGGAAGTAGCGATACTCCAGGGGACTGAGGATTTGAGACTTCAAACATGCTTCAAACGGCATCTTTTCGTAAAAAAATAGTTCTTTAAATCGCTAGTTTTAGTGACTAGGTGTTTAATGGTGTAAATAAAGGTGTGAATATAAAAGTAGATGCTTAAGAAAGAAATTTTGCAAGATATTTCTCGGGCCATTGAAAATTCCATCATGATTAGAACGTGCCATGTAAATCTAATGTGACCATTATATTTTCGATTGAGAGCGGCACTCCTGTAAAACTATTGTTGTTTTAAAAATAAAACACATGTTTATGATGATTACGAAATGCAAATTTAAAAAAAAACTAAAAACACCAATGATCAAAAATTAAAAAAAAACTATTCTTGTGTAGTCCGGTGGGCTGGTTTTATATATATTTCGCTTTCGCGCCATTTAAAAAAATATATCACGTATGTCTTGTTTTGTCACGGCGGGACATTGTTAAGTATTGTGGGGACAGCGGGACGCGAAGCTTAAAAACAGGACTGTCCTGCACAAAACGGGATCTATGGTCACGTTATAAATATCCCAACTTGACCTATCAATGTCAAGTTTGACACACAAAAACTGTGAAACAATAAAAAATCTTCAGATAAAATAGCTTTATAATTATGGTTAAACACACTGTATGTTTACATCAGAAACAGAAATTCACATTTAATTTGAACTTTGTTACTTCTTACGTAAGCTTCGTAACAAAAACGTTCGAAATCGAAGTGTGCACTTCAATGAATCAATAAGTGGAACTGGTTTGGCATTGTATTGACTTCTCTAAGGATCTATAAAAGGGTAGATCTTACGTGGATAGAGGCATTCTGATTAGATCGTCTCTGAAATAGGCTGGTGGTAACTATCAACTAACATGCGTATCAAAATGTTTAGTATCTTGGCCGGTGTGATTATGGCTGTGGCCCATGTACAAGCCAATGCAGGTATATTTATTCAAAATTATATAGTTATATAATAAATTTAGTTAGATTTCAGTGACTTTCTATTTCATTAAAATCGCTTTTCAGGTTAGCTTTTTTTGTTCAATTTCGGTGGCATGTATTCAAGGTGATAGAATGTCATCACGAAGTACTATTTAATATTCAAATGTAGTATCCTGAAATATTATTTAATATTTCACAATAATATACTCGAATACTTAAATGATAGAACATTGCCACCGAAATTAGGTAGAGAAAACTAACTATATTAAAATTTAAAAATAATAAAAAACTATTTTCAAAATACAAATTCATGCAGTGAAAAGTGCTGAAATACTGTCTCTGCATTTTTCGAAGTTTGCTTCTACAGGATTTTGGATTTGAATTTAAAACAATTTTTTTTTGCAGCGTCGTTCGTAACTCCATGCAAAGCAGAAGACTCTAAATGCATCAAAGAGAACGTTGCAGCGGGTTTCGCAGCGTTTTCAAATGGCATACCTGAGCTGGGCGTAAAGCCTCTGGATCCAATAATCCTGAAGAAAGTGGACGCCAGTAGAACTGGACTTAAGCTTATTGTCACTGACGCTTCTGTTGAAGGACTAGGGAAATGTGTAGCTAAGAAGGCTTCGTAAGTATTTTTTACTTCAATTATAAAAGTATGAACATTTTTTTTTTCACAATGCAGATCCTAGAGACAATATTACAGTATGACGTTTTCTTGTAAAATATATAATTCTTAATACGTCCCCCGTACTTGTATAGCTATGGTGGACGAACCGGAGTACCAAATATGACAAGGGTCAAAACACAAGGAACCTGGAGGCCGAACCGAATCGCTCCCAATTGGAATGTTCCAAATTTAAATATTATTTTTGATTTGTTAAAATTACTTTTTGTTTAGTAATATCATTAATTTATACATTTATTTCAAAACAAAAAACAAGAATCATACCACAAGGGTCCTGGAGGACGAATCCAATCGGTCAATTGAGATCCAAATTTAAATATTGTTTTTAATTTGATGAAATTAAACTTTTCTTTTCATTTTTGATTGGAAATAAATTAATTTGTGGACAAAAAAGTCTGAAATAAATTATTATTATTATTATTAATTTACTGTGATACTGAAATAAACTAACAAATTCATAAAATCTGTAGCATATACCTTCATAAATATATTAAAACAGCTGTTAATAGTGATACTGGTTAAAAACAATAAAAAGAAGAATGCATTTTCTTTATTTTTGTCATTTCGAGAACTATTAATAAACAATTTTTTTTTAAAACAATTTACAAAAATTGAGATTATGGATTACTACAAGATAAAAAATAATTAAAAGTCCGAAAGTCGAATAGATTTTTAGTAATACAGTGCAGAAAATTACTTGTGTAATAATACGTCATCAGAGCGTCGCCCTTTGTTTTCTAAAATACACTAAGGCTCAACTCACACTGGCGCAGAGTCGAAGCGTCGCGTCGCGTCCTGTTTTTCAACTACAACGCCTGGCGACGCGCGTCGACGCGCGCAGCTGTATTTGCAAAACACAAATTTGTACCTTAATAATGGGAAAATAGAGATGAATATGCTATAGGCGAAAAACATGACGCGTCGCGACGCTTCGGCTCTGCGCCAGTGTGAGTTGAGCCTAATGGGTACACTGGCACGCGTACATACGTACGTACGTCCATCTGTCAATAAACCGGCAAATTGTCTATGAAATTATCCACTAGTGCAATTATAATGCCCCTCAGATTTTTGCTATTTAAACTTTAGAGCAACATTATATTTATAATTGATTAACTAATCAATAATACTTTCTTTTGCTATATGTAACAATCGCGAAAACCTACGAACTCGATGTGTGTGTAATGTAATTTGTTTTCGAAATTAACAAAAACATTTCATTTTACAGACGAGACGTAGAAAAGGGAAAGCTGTTCGTGAAATTCCAGTGCGACGGTAAACTTGAAGGACAGTACGAGATGGACGGACAACTCTTGATCCTCCCTATTCGCGGCAAAGGACCCGTACACGCCGTACTTAGTAAGTTTTTACCTTAGCTATTTCTACCACCAATCAGTAATGTGAACATTACTGCGGCCCAGTTTTGTATGGCAAGTGTGCTGGTGTAGTTACAGGCACATGGGAATTATCTCAGGGTGCACGGGCGCACTGGCAGTGTTCCTCAGATCTTTGCGATTTAAAGCTCTGAGTGACACTGCAACTGTCGTTGACTGGCATGTTGCTTACCAATAGGCTTTAAATTTTACTGACTGTGTTCATCCCGTTACTTAATATTAAAAAAAAAGTTTTATACAACTTCCGTAAGTTTAGAGTTTAGGGCTGCACACATTTGCAGCATTTCAACTTTATGATTGGTCAAAATTAGACTGAATAGCTAAGATGGAAGTGTTTGCAAAAAAAGAACTACGCCGCTAGTTCGCATCGCGGAACAGCTATAAAATAATATATCGATATTATTTCAAAAATTCGTAACTAATTTGATACTATTGATATCATCATATTAAAAAGTCCCTAACTAGCATTGACCTCACACGAAGCTCGTCTTAGAGGAAAGCATTAAAGCTTTAAGTAGCAGTAGAGCTTCTTGTGAAAGAGTTCGTCCAGGGAAATACTGCTACCTTACCTGTTTCTGCCACCAAGCAGCAATGTGAGCATTACTGTATTCTGGTTTTGAAGGGTAAGGGTGCTGGTGAAATGACAGGCACATGGGACTTATCAACTTATGCCCAGGGTGACGAGCGCAGTGGCAGTGCGCCTCAGATCTTTGCGATTTAAAAATCTGAGTGGCACTGCAAGTATTACGGACCGCAAGACTTGGTCGTTCCGTCACTTCATAAAAAAGCTAAATTCCGCCCTTACACGTGAAATATTTTCTCCAAATTTAAATGAGACCAAAACTGAGGTAATCTCATTCCGGCAAAAAAGAATCATCAACATCGGTTCACAAATGGAGTAATCCGGAATGGAATGGAGTAAGCCGGAGTAATCGCATAACATACACAAAAAAATACAGTCGAATTGAGAACCTCCTATTTCGAAGACGATTAAAAAAACAAAATTGTAGACTCCACATAATAATATTACATTCATACTTTATATCTGTTTATTAATAGGTGTATTAACATATAATAATTATTATATACACATAATAATTCACCATCTTTTGTTGACACGTAGGTTTCTACGTTTCAACAAAAGATGGCGGTGAAAGGACTTGTCAATCAGCGTAAGGTACTCACCGATTGTTGCCCAGGGTGCGCCAGATGTTCAGAAAAAGAATGTGAAGGAAAAGAAAGATGAAAGAAAGAAAAAAGGATTATATCCTATAACTTACTAACTTAATATCTAACAAATCAAATCACGCTTATAAACAAGATTTTAATTGGTTTATTCCGCTCAATGTCAAATACAATCTTTTCATAAGCCCTGAGTTGCCAATTAAAAAACAAATATTATACTGCAAATAACTTATACAATGTGTTTACCATATTACAAATAACGGTTATTATTAAAAACTTACACGATACGATACCATGTTACAAATAACAGTTCTTATTAAAAACAACGGTTAATTGTATTAAAATACAAAGTAAATTAGGCATAAGTATGGAAACTATATAGCTTTGTCTTACATGGCTATCATAAACAATATAGTATAATATGATAATAGGTAATCAGGCTTACAAATGGTACAGCCCCGTATATTTCTACATTAGTTTTGATTATAGTATATGTGAAGGACACCATAACCTGTGCGCGAACCTTATAAGTTCAGGTTCTAACCACAGATCAGCCAGTGTACAGGGTTGTCACAGACCTCTGACACTGACTCTGACTTCATCCGGTTCTCGAGAGGTTAGTGCCTCGGGTGAGCCGCCCCGGGTGCACGTACAGTACCCTCTCTATTTTCCAGATAGGTACCGGAGCTGGAGGCACGCTCACTTCCCGTTACGCATTGCACAACTATTGGGTGCCACCACTAACCCGTCGACTGTAAAGTCCAATACCAAATCTCCTCATTGGTGGCGGAACTGTAAGGCACGACGCCCGGGGTTCCCTGGTCTTACCGTCGAACCCGTAGTCTCTCCGGAAAACCTTCGGGTCCTTTTCCTTTTGTGCACCCCCTTTTCTCGCGTAAAAGATACAGTTACAGCACACATAAAATTATGTAGCTAAACGCCAATTACAACTAGAATAAAACTGTCATGATTGATTGTTAATTTAGTTCTAGGTCACGTATTAACAAATCCAATCGGATCGAAGGAATATTTCTTAGTGTGTTAGATATTGTATTAATAATTATAAAAACTAGTTAATTAATTTCACAAAAAATAAATGAATATCATGGTAGTAAAACATTGTAATATTCCATAAATTTCGTAATATAACTAATTAATGAAAGTATTAACAAATTATTTATTAATTCCAGGAAAACTTGTCATAAGCACTGAATTTGACTTGGGTGAAAAAGTTGGAAAAGACGGCAAAAAACACTGGCACATCAAGAAATGGACACATTCCTTCGAACTAAAAGACAAAGCTGACTTAGTTTTCGAAAACTTATTCGAAGGAAACGAAGTCTTAGGTAATTTATTCTTCAATAATTTTACTGACATTGCATGTGGGGTTCATTAAACACGATACATTATTATTAGCTAACGTGAACTACTTATAAAAAGATGTTTTGTCTTGTTTCTACTAACTTTGCGTGCCAAAATCAAATTATGTCTAATAATAATAATATTGATGATATGTTTTATGAACCGCAGATCATTTTGTTTTTTTTAACAGTTCATGGTTAAGTCAAGGCATTCTAGTGAATATTAATTTAAAAATACTCGTAGAACTCCGGTTTGTGTATTTTTTGTTTGTGTATTTTCTCTAAAACTCTCCTATTTCTATTCTTGTACTAAACCAATAAATATAAAAAAGAGCTATTTAACTTTTTTCTGAAAGAACTGCACTAAGTGAATTCCGTACGCAGGCTCATTTCGATGCCTCTAATTAACACTATGCCAACTTAATTATTGGACCTGTCTTTTTTATTATGTTTTTGTTTTCTTTATTTTTTCACAAAATTACTTTATTGGTTCTTCGAATTTTGTTATTTCTTTTTTTTCACAAAATTCGAGGAGCATAAATATTAGTAAATAAATATGGCTGTTTACACAAATAACAGAAACTGACCAAAAAATAAAGTTGGCGTAGTGTTAATTGGAGGTATCGATTTGTACACACTGATTTTTGAAGTTGAATTGTGTATGAACATTTGAAGAAACTTTCAAACTGGTGATCAAAAATTGTGTTAACTTGAACTGTTGTGATGACTGGCGTGATTACTCAAAAACTACTTTTATTTTATACATAATTTATATATGTAATAAAAAATTTGCTTTTTCTAGGTCGTGCTGCCCGCGAGCTGATATCCTCCAATGGCAACGACGTAGTGTACGAAATCGGCCCCCCAGTAGTTAAAGCGATGTTGGAAGAGATAGTTTCTTCGGTGCGAAATTTCTTCAACAATGTCCCTGCCGAAAACCTTACCTTAGACGTTTAGAAGCTAAAAATCTTATTATCTGTTCATGTTATTTTGGATGACAATTAATAAATGGTTGATTTTAATTATGGACTATATTATTCAAATGTTTCGAATGAATAAATGAAATGAATGAATGAGTGAATGAATTTCTGAGTTAATAAATGAATTCAATGAACGAAATGAGCGATATGAGCTAAATGAGTGAAATGAGCGAAATGAGCGAAATGCGCGAAATGAACGAGGTGAACGAATTGAATAAAAAGAGCAAAATGAACGAAATGAAACAAATGAATGAAATGAAATAAATGACCGCAACGAACGAAATGAACGAAATTAAATAAATGACCGCAATGAACGAAATGACCGAAATGAATGAAATTAATTAATGAACGAATATTCTCAGTTACACATTAAATATTACTATGATAACACAGAACAGTAATGTAAGGATCACAGAATAAACTAAACAATGGGCGGCCTTATCACTAAGTAGCAATTTCTTCCAGGCAACCTTAGGATAGAAAAACAGCTGAAATTTAACAGTTCGATATCATTTAATTCTTTATATTTGCGAAAAACACTTTTTTAATTTTCACTTTATCAGTAATTAAACTACGTTCACAGAGCTAAATCGCATATAGTAATTTGTTTTTTTAAACAAACCAAACGGTTCGGGTCCTTTACAGGTCTTATGGTCACAACTTTACTGACTAAGATGGTAAAGTCATCAACCAGTCATGTCTAATATAATATTAACGCAAACAATCGTATATTGAACTATAATTACAAATTTGCAATTATAGTCACATACCACGCATCTACACACTATAGTTCCGAAGCACACCGCTAGATGGCATTGGTGCATTTTTAACAATTTCTAAATCGAGGTGTTAAGATTTTTCCAATTGAATAACTTAGGTGTTATGATACAGTATAAATAAATGCTAATTTTATTAAGTATGAACATATGATGTAAAATCAGCTAAAAAGCGGGCAGTGCAGGATCAATCATTGTTGCATTGGTTGAATTCGAAGCATGTTATGACATGAGGTGAGGTGTGAGGTGGGATATTTTTATGACATGTGGCAACCTCATGTCATAAAAACATTAATTTAGTACTTGGTTACTTTGTCACAACTGACAAAGTAACCAAGCAAGTGGTTATGTTATGCTGAAAAGTGTTAGAAACGATGAAACGTTTTGTACCCGACTAAAAAACCTTTTATTGGATATTGAATTGTACAGTGTCGATGAGTTTCTTTTGAAACAATTTTAATTTTATTTTGTTCGACAAGCAGTAGTTATACTACTTTATTTTATATTCATTATTATTATTATAATTTTATTACTGACGATCATAGTTATCCCTTGACATTGTATTTCCAATTGCAATATTGTGACATTGATAACATGAAATAAACGATTCTATTCTATTCTATTCTATTCTATTCTATTCTGGTACAAACGAGTTGCCTCGTTTATGAGTAACCCAACACTATTGTACACCCGGCATCAAATAAGCAATTATCTCGAAAATCTTTTACCTCGCGGTACCAGTCTCCTTGAGACATATGTTGACAAGTCCCTTATAAGTAATGCTCATATTACTGCTTAGCGGCAGAAATGGTCGAGGTGGCAGTACTTCCCCTGATGAACTCATTCAATCAAAGGAGCTCTATTACTAGTGAATAAAAACATTTCAATGTCCAACCGCTATTATAACAATTTAACAAATATTTAAGGAGAATATTTGATTCTAATTTATATAAATAATAATCATATAAAATTAGTTATCATTTTTGCGAAATCCATATGAGATAGAAAGCCTGAAAAGGTTAAATGGGTCATACCGGGAATTCTCGTAATCCAAGTACACAAGCTGGGGAATAAACTTTTGTCATCATCAACCCAGGCGAGGGTCTTCGCCGTAGTCCGCCACGTTGGGGACTTGAACTTGGACCTTTTCGCACATCAATTCCTAAAAACTCAGAGATGCGAGTCTGGATTCGAAACCACGGCTTCTGCTTGAGAAGCCGTAGACCATTACGCTACCACGGTTTTTTTTTTTGACGATTGTTTTAACCTCGTAAATGGCTGTTTCGTATATCAACAGAAACCGAATCTGAATATGGAAAAAATAGTAATATCTGAATAACAATAATCAAGACAGCAAAGATATTTTCATTGATACCAAATTACTCAAATTAGTACACAAGCAGTGGAGCTCCTTATGAAAGAATTCTTCCAGGGAATTACTGTTACCTTACCTATTTCTGCCGTCAAGCAATGATGTAAGCATTACAGTGTTCCGGTTTAGAAGAGTAAGGTGCTGGTGAAATTACAGGTACATGGGACTTGTCAACTTATGTCTCAGGGTGACGGGCGCAGTGGCAGTGCCCATAAGATCTTTGCGATTGAGAGCTCTGAATAGCAAGTATCATGAATAGGCGTGTCGCTTACCACCAGTGATTATTGTCGCTTACCACCAGGCGCACGACATGCTCGTCCCGTCACTTGGTATTATAAAAAAGTCTAATCAAATAAAAATCAACAAATATAGGCCATACAAATACTTTTCCTGTCCCGGGAAATCTAAACCGAAACTGCATGGCAGCTCAAGATGGTAACCGTTCGGCCCCGAGGCAGTTTACAAATCTATACAAATGAAATGAAAAAATAGCCCTGTAATTCTAATTTTCAGCAAAAAATTTCGGAACTCAAGTGTCCGGTACAAACAATGACAGTGGAACAGGTGACGCTAAGTTCGTATATATACGCTTGCGCAATATAAGGATCCATTGTAATCGGATAGAAGCATTCTGATTAGATCGACATTGAAATAAGTCGCAAGTGCGTTATTAAAACAAAAATGGATATAAAAATATTTAGTATCTTGGCCGGTGTAATTACATTCGTGGCGTACGTACAGGGAGATGCAGGTATTTTTATTCAAAATTATATTGTATTATGTAACTAATTATAATCACTTTCAATTTCAGCAATGGGACGTATAAATGGGTTGACGACCATACTTGATAGATTTGCTGCTGAGCACTAAAATCGCTTTGGTGCTTTTATTTCTATTTTATATTCATTTAGTAGGTGTAAATTTAATTAAAAATGGATATTTTTTCGTAGTAATTAATAATTTAATTCATCACGCATACTAAAAACCTTAACGATTTTAGTAAAACATTTTTTAATTTTTTAAATTGTTCCATCAAATAGATTAATACCACCAACTTCAAAATTGACATTACATTCGTCCATTCCATTTGTTACGACGATAAAAATTTACAATAAATTACCTAAATTAATAAAGGAAAAAAAAACGCGAAACAAAATTAATAAGAGCTTTAAAAACACTTTTAATAGCTAAATGTTACTATACGCTTCATGAATATTTAGAAGATAAGAATAATATGTCCAATTAAATGCATAAATAGAAATATTAAATAAATAGTACAGATACATTTAAGAAAGTATTTTTTACTAAAGAATTATTAAACTAATGTAATAATTAAATTTTTTTTTATTGAATTGATATTCAATTATTTTTTGTGAAATTACTCC